CTTACATATGATTTACAGAGTCAGTCTATATTCCTTTATTCCTTATTTTATTTCTTATTTTTTAAACTTTAATATTTTAAAACTGGTTGAAATGATCTCGGACTTCATATTTCCCAAATTATGTTTTAAGAACAAAGTTTTATTGCTTATTGCTGTTTTATTGTCACAGAAAAAGAAACAAGATTCATTAAAGTTTAGAGACCTTCATGAGCCTTTGGTCTTATAAATAATAAGTCTGTGCAGGAATAAAGGTTTCCTGCAGCTTTCTGTCTTCCTGCTGTGTAACGCCAGTGTCGTTGTGTGTTTTGTTCACTTCCAGGCCCTGTCTGTAGGGATTTTCCCGTATGTGCTAAAGCTTCTTCAGAGTTCAGCCCGAGAGCTGCGACCGCTGCTGGTTTTTATTTGGGCTAAAATCCTGGCTGTGGACAGCGTAAGTGTTGAACCTTTACTGAAAATCTGAACCGATTTTACCTGRATGAAGGTTGAACCCTCTCTCCTGCTCCTCTCTGTTGTTGCAGTCGTGTCAAGCAGACTTGGTAAAAGACAACGGACACAAGTACTTCCTGTCTGTGTTAGCCGACAGCTACATGCCTGTGAGTTCCATCCTTCATCGTTAAGACTCTCTCCAACTAATTACTTCCTGTGTGAGAGCTGAGAGATGCTTTTCTGTCTTCCAGGCTGAACATCGGACGATGGCTGTCTTCATTTTAGCCGTTATCGTCAACAGCTACAACACAGGCCAGGTACGAGTGCAGAGGAAACACACGAGGAGTTATAAATTTACCTCCCCGACAGAACACGAGGTTCTTTAAGGCCCAGCTGTCGTCTCTGTCACCTGTTGGATGTTTCCAGGAGATACTGGTTATGTGGCAGCTTTGTCACCAACAGTTACCTCTGCCATCTCTGTTTCTGTCGCAGGCGCCTCCGTAGCGACACTTTATCACCGCCGGTGTCACTTCAGTCCGCTCCGAGCCTCCTGCGTACGATCCCAGAAGCCTTTTGTGTCGCACCAAATGCCCAACAATATGATGTAGGAGCGATGTAGCTCTTAGTTTCCCCGACTGCACCCAGACTCACAACCTGGTCCTCAAAGGAAACATTTTTTCTCGCTCCGCAGACCCGTTCTGGATTTTCTCTGACTCCTCTTCACTGATATTACAGAACATAAATGTGATCAGAGGAGTCGTATGTGACCCTTCTTCCTTGCTGTCCCTAAGAAGTGAGAGCTCCTGTCTCTACCTCAGGTTGGAGTAAATAATAGATGTTTTCTCCCCCTGCTTCATGTCTCCCATTATCTCTTTTATTTATCCCTCTTACTTTCAGCAGCAGCGCTCGTTACTGCAGAGTTGCTGCTGAAAACATGCAGAGAGAAACTTTCAGTCACAGGCCAGGGGTCTCATTTATAAAGGATTGYGTGGAAACCATACTAAAAGTGAACGTACGGCCAAAAGGCAGAAATGGCGTACGCAAAAAAAAATTCAGGTTTATAAAACCGTGCGTACGCACGTTTCTGCACATCTTTCCTTTATAAATCACAGCCGCACGTCAGAGTTTGCGCACGAGGTCC